AGAGTCTGGCTTTAGGCTCAAAAATGTGCAAAAAAATAATGCAAAGAAAAAAAGAATATAATTTAAACCCATCCCTGTGGTCTTCAAGGTTCTGTATAAAAAAATCATAGTATGGAGGGAAACTTTGAGATGTCTTCAGGAAATATGCAAAGTTTTTGTGCAAAATTTTGAAAAGTGCTTATTTTGAGGGGGTCAGGTGGGAGGCACTGATTGATTTTTCATGGAATGACTCAACGATCTCCGCTGAGATCATAGGTTGAATTCACTAAACATGCATGCTTATTTGTAGTTCAACAGAGCATGAGTAACAAGAGACGAACAACAAAGCTCAGCACTTCACTGTCACGGCTCAGTAACACTGGAACAGCAGACGGCGTATCTAAAGGTGGAGAGACAATAGTGTAATACTGCAGGAGATCAAGAAAAGTTGTTGATGAGCCACTCAAAAAGGAAATTTAAGACATAAAGACAGTTGGAAGCTAAGTGGTTAAATGTGCCAGTGTCGCTCCCTAACAGAGCTAACTGCACCAACAAGAAGCAGGAGCAGAGGAGAAAAGACTTAGGTTGAGCAGCTTTGCAGCCTTTTCCAGTGAAAAATCACCCCTTGCAGCCCAGTCATTCAACAAAGGAAGGCTCTGGTATCGATTAGCAGGGACCAGAATATCACCAGCCTCCCTGCTGGATAAAGAGCACTGTTGTGCTTAACAAAGCAGACTGTACTGTAACTCTAAAGTGAGTGACTTCTAAGTGAAAAAATTCAATACAGCAGCATTGGACTTGTTACAGCTACATAGGAGTCATCATCTGTGTTTTAGTGTTAGTACAGGATACAGATGCTAACACGGTACCTTAAAATGCTGCGTGCATAAGTAATGATCACACCTAAACTTATGAGGAGGCAAATCATGGAAGAATCTTCTTGCAGCCTCTAGGATACAGTTGCATTTGAAGATGCTGAATGAATAACTTAGTAATTTCATGTGTAGCATACAAAACCCAGCAGCATGATTCTGTTTTTTGGACAAAAACAGCTTAAAGCGAACACATTAAAACAAGCAAAATAACAAAAAAAATGTTTGAAAAATGAAAAATACCAAATTCAACCAACCATCCTTGGATATTGGAGCAGGTGGGGTTGTGTTTGTTCTACAAAACCGCTATTAGCAACTGCAACTACTGCCCAGGCATGTTCTCCCATGCAATATCACAACAATTCACACTTTCATTGATGTGAATCCGTTGACCAACACATGCCACAACCAGTGTGAGACCGCAGTCACTCTCAAGTGACACCAATGTGTGAATGACCCATAAACGGACCCCAGTAGAAATCAGCAGAAGCGAAGATGCTGCTTGTGTAATGTATGACGTGTCAATTTCCTGTTAATTTTCTAATTTTACAGTGACGGTTATGCACTGCGTTATGCTTTAACAGTGTGACAACAAGTCCACAAGGGTTATGCAGTATTTTGTCAGAAGTCGTGCATGTTATGCACTTTAACAGTGCACCACTTTTCACCGGTCATTCAGCTGACAGAAGCAATAACCTGCTTCATATGCGCTGCTTTGGTATGTGATCAGAAAATAGGTTCATTTTCCGTTTCTGAGTTTTTACTATCAAGGGACTATCAAATGGGTAGAGGATTAATTTCTCATATTCAGATGAGTTTTGTTTATTTCACACGAGCGATATTTGTCGCTGTGTTTTTTTTTGCCTGCACTCTTCTCACTGACATGAAAAAGATGTCACATGTAACCATGTACTAATCAAATTTTACCAACACTTGAGTCTGTCAGTCACATCTGAGAACAACCACATCTATGCAGTCCCCGCGGAGAAGTTAAGTGGATGTTTTATTAATTCTTTTAACAATTCATTTGTTTCTCCTTTATTTCTGTGAATATTAGCAAATATTTCATGTCAGTTATGTTTTGAAGCTGACTTTCCCCATATTTTAACTTTCTGCCTTGCTTGTTATCTCTTAACAACAACATCTGGTATGTATTTAACTCGAGCTACTAAACTTGTTTAACCCTAAATTTAAGCAGGAGTATGACATCACCACATACCCTGCCTAAGTGTCTTCGGGCAAGCATTAGCCAACCAAAAAGACAAAGTTCAATCTGGAAATCAGTATCATCACATTACACACTATCACATTAGATAGCTTCTTGAGCACCTGATAAAGAGCTATGACAGTGGGGAGGACTCTATTGAGGAAACTATTTGTTGAAAGGATTTAAATCCAGCTCAGTGTCTGTCACACCTTTGTGCTTTCACAGGATATTTCAGCGTAGCTGAAATATCCTGTGAAATCTCAAAAGTGGCACTTTCAATAACCTTTGTCTCTGTTCATGCCCTTGTCGAGTACAGGAACTAAAACGATGCTCCAGTGTCAAGATTGTTAACCTATTACTTTGGGGTGGATTTTTCACTGTGATTTAATTTAACCAAGCAAGAGAGTTGGCACCTTATCTGATGAGCAATGCGCGGTTTATACACAGATAACTAAAGTAGTTCAGGTCTGTTTAAAAGCAGCAAATAGTGTGGGTTCAACATCCTTTCAGGGATCACATCTGACTTTTTTCAGGTCTATTTTACTATTCAGCTTTTTTAAACCTGCAAGCACGGATGTGTCACATTCACAGGTTCTTTTTCATCATTTACTATCAGTCATGAATCGCACAAATAGCCTCCTGCTTGAAGAGTAGTTTCACCAATTTTACATAACAAAATCTGTTTAGAGCCTTGCAGACATACGGCTGCATACTGAGAAAAATGTGACAAGTCAAATGTGGGGAAAAAAACCTGCATATCTGCCAATAACTATTATTACTAAGTAACATCACAGATATTAAAAGAGAGAGATGTGTCACTCACATAATCCTGAACTATAATATATATTCCACCACCATCATAGCTGTGGTGGAGGAAGCAAGGCTTCTACGATGCAAACAATATAAATGTATTACATTTTAAGCTTTATTTTGTTGCAACTTTTTTAAATGTTGGTGATTCTATACATGCAGTTCATTTTATGTCTTGATGAACATCGAGTTTAAAGTTAATTTTGATAACTCTTCAAAATAAGTGCTAAGCAGCATTTGAAGATGGACGTGGTGACACTTTCTGCAACGAGTCTGACAACAAACGAAGTGTTAGAAAGCACTGCTAGTACATCTAACTACACAAGAGGTCATAATATTTGTAAGCACATCGCTTCAGAAGGCACCAGAGGTTAAGCTTAGTGACTTGAACTGGGGAGGTCCTAAGTTTCTTTTCCACTAGTACTTACCCAGCTTGACTTGACTTGACTCTACTCAGTTTCTGTCATTTTCCATTACTATTGAGTACAACCTCTATAAAAGTCCACGATGTACACAAACACAACACAATAATGGAAGACATCGAGGGGAAGGTCTACCTGCTGCTCGTTCTATGGCTTTGTCATACTCGGAGACTAGCATGACAAAGAGACTCAGTGATGGTTTTTGTGCTGTAATTTTTCTCACTGCCAGGTTTAAAAAATGTGGTTTGGGAGAAGGAATAATAAAGCAATGCTATTTACTGGCCAATCGGTGGTATGCATTCTGTTGATGTCATAATTGTAGATCCACTCAGCTTGCTTGGAACCTCAGCCGAGCAGGTACTAAAAAGACCTCCATGTGACCTTCATGGAATGGGTTTCCATTTGTGAACAGCTGCCTCCAAGTCTTGCATCACCAAGCACAATGCAAAGCATCGGATCCCGTAACCTATGCCACCACTGGACAGTAGAGCAGTGGAGATGTGTTCTCTAGAGTAACAAATCAAACTTCTCCATCTGGCAATCCAATGGATGAGTCCGGGTTTGGCCATTTCCAGATGGAAACCGTACTTGTCTGACTGCACTCTGCAAGTGTAAAGTTTGCTGGAGGGGGGATTGTGGTGTGGGGTTGTTTTCAGGAGTTGGGCTCGGTTCATTAGTTCTAGTTCATGCTCCCAACTTTGAGTGAGCATGAAAGTTTGGGGATGGCCCCCTCACTGTTCCAACATGACTGCAGACCAGTGCACAAAGCATGGTCCATAAAGACGAGGATTAGCAAGTTTGGTGTGGAAGAACTTGACTAGCATGCACAGTCCTGACCTCAACCCGACAAAACACCTCTGGGATTAATTTGAGTGGAGACTGTGAGCAAGGTCTTCTTGTGTCTGACCTCAAAAATGTGCTTCTAGTAGAATGGTCAAAAATTCTCGTAAACACACTCCTAAACCTTTTGGAAAGCATTCCCAGAAGAGTTAAAGCTGTTATAGCTGCAGAGGGTGGGCTAACATTAAACCCTATAGATTAGAATGGGATGTCACTCAAGTTCATATGCGCTTGAAGGCAATATAATTTTGGCAATATAATGTAGAAACTTAGATCTTGCATTTTTTAGTACTTCTGCATTGGTGAATTTTTCAAGCTGGCGGTTGCTGCCAGCTTTTTGTAGCTGATAAATAACAATGGATGCCCTTGACTCAGAGTTGACTGCAAATGTCAAACTGAAAAACAATCGGTGCATATTTAGATAGAAGGGAGCTTACTAGATCAAATAGCCACTGAGTCATTTCTGCTTGAATATGGCGACATTAGCGACTCCTACTATAACACACCTGAGTTGGATTGTGAGTAATGTCGCCCCCTCCCCGGATTTGACAAGGATCAAGATAAGAGGAACAAAAGTTTTAAAAGGTCGTCCGTCATGAGTAGACAGTGTTCTAGGAGTCCAATCGGTGTAGCACTCATTTAATGATGTAAAGAGTGCTTGCCTGATGACAAAATGAAAGTCATAATACCTGCATGTAGCTCTGACACATTTTATCCATAGTCTGGTTTTAAGTTCACTTCAGTCATATTTTATTCATTTGATTTTTCAAAAAAAAACCCTCATTTTTATGACTCATTTTGATGTGGAGTACAAGAAGAAGTTCAACTGAACATGAAATGCTTGAAGAAATAAAAAGAGGAGCAAACAAAGAGAATTCATGATCATCATTTATAGTTCATGGTCATTTTTCCTCATACTCATTCCAAGTACAGGTCTCTGGAAAGCAGAATTGACTGACAGAATGACAGAACAAACACAGAACAGTTGAAATGGAGACTTATTTGAGCTATTCTCCTCTGGTTTTGTGTCATCCCAAGCGCACACTGGACAATCTTATAATACCACTTGGAAAACACACACACACAGCAAGTTAATTTATCTTTATCACTGGCATCATCCATCACCATCATCATCATCATCATCAACACTCATATTCTAGGTCTTCATTCTCACTCATGTAAGTCAGGATTGAGCAGGAAGGCAGTGATTCTACCAGGATCCTTAAAAGAGAGCCACACAAGTTGTCACACATCTCCGCTATCAACAGCTTGTGCAGGTTTCAGGTTAGGCTGTTACTGGTCCAGGTTGGAATTTGTATAAAAACTATATAGGAACACATGTAAAAACAGGGAGAGATTCAAATTATTATCCAACTGAAAAAACAAAAACAAAATGCAGATGTCCTCATAAAATCTTCTATGTCTAGCAACACTTAATAACATTTATGTCTTCTTTTTGTCCTTTTTTTAAAGGTTTTATTCCAAAACGGCTGAGGAGCAGTTATAGTTTGCATCATCTATACAACAGGCTATAAAACACCACTTTGTCACAGTCCAGAAAGCACATATAGATGTGGTTGTATTGTATATAAACATATGTACCGTAATAAGATAATTTTGCGTGCATGGCTCCTGAATGATCACCGTTGAGACATCTGCGGGATTCTGAGCGAAGTCTCTCCTTTGAGTTCACACAATGTGAAAACGAAGGCCTCCAGATTTCTTCCTGGCACAACTCACATATTCTTTTAAACCAAAGTCTTCAAGAGAAGCTGCCATCTGTTCTCATCTTTGCACTGCAGCAGCCCTGCCTGCCAGGTAATAGTCTTTGCAGGCCATCTCTGCCTCTACCGTGAGGACTTTTGGCTGATTCCTCATCTCTGGCTTAAACGTCATGTGATTGATTTTTTTTTTTAATTCCTCTTCATCCTCTTCATAAATGTTTGGCGTATTTTAATGTATGTATTTATTTATGCATTGTGCCATTTTACCTAGAAAAAGTCCCAGCAACACAAACACAGGCAATGGAAATGGAACGTTAAGTCTGCTATGCTGTCACTCCATTTGCAAAGTGCATCTGTGCTCCTCCAGAAACACGGGAGTTCGATCACATTATCGTGGCCAAAGAACAAGTCACAGATGGGTTAATGGTGTTTTGCTGACATGTTAGATATGTATTTAGTTCATTTTTAATTGTTGGCAGACCCATTTTTCCTCCAGTCTTTTAACCTCAGTACTTTCTGTCCAGTGTTTAAGACTGAAGAAAGTTTATTTTTTAATTTTTTTTATTTACCATGTTTTTTTTTTCAGCTTTTCAGAGCATTGTCTTATGGGGGGAAAATGACTAAATAATGTTTGTATTTGTTGTTATATTACACAAGTCCTGATTTGTCTTTTTGATAAATGTTTACGTTGGCCTGACAAAGACCAGAGCTTTGACAATCACACATAGTACTCCTTGTCCTTGTTCTTCTTGTTCTTGCTCGAGGTTTTCGCTGTGTTGACCTGTTTCTCTTTGACCACGGTTCCGTTGGACTGTGCCGAGTTGCTGATGTAGTTACGACTCTCGTCTACATGGTAGGAGCCTTCGTCTCTGTTCCGGTATTTATACATAGCATAAAGCAGGATGAGAATGCACAGCGCCGCTGCTGCTACGATGCCGACCACCATCCCCGTAGTACTGCTCGACTCACGGAAGACCTCCTGTGTTCCTGGGTAACCCTTTGGTCCAGCACCAGTGGGATTGGCTGCAAGACAAAAAAAACAAGATTACTGCAAAAAAACCACGTTTTATGTTTCATCATTACTTTGACCGTATTGGTGTAATGAATGAGAGCATGCATTTTTCTATCTGCATGTACAAATGAATATCCCAAATATAATAGACATCAAGACTGACGATTTTCAAAGTACATGCTGGCTTAAATGGCTTTCCCATCAAATAGAAAAGCGTGCAGTCAGACAATGAATAGAGCACAATAGAATGAAATGGCATATAATGGCAAAGATAAGGGGTCCCAGCGAATGTCTTTCTGCAGCGTGATCTGACACTTTAAGCGTTTAATATCCCATTGTGATGGCCAAAAGACTTCAAAACGACTCTGACTGTTAAATAAGACACAAATACCCCGAGCATATTTTAAAGGCAACACTTTACATGGTCTGACAGTCACAAAATTACCAAAGAAGTTACAATGAAATGCAACCCTAAGAAGAACCTTCAAAAGAGCCAGGGATGTTTTGTAGACTTCAATATAGCACTTGACCTTTCTAACCTTCTCCTCTGCCTATAGAGGATGTCTAAATGTTATACTGGGAATATGGGAATTTTTTTACAAGCTACGATAACTAAGACAGGCGGCACTTCGCCCATAACAACAGTTGGATAAGTGGTTAAGTGAACGGATAGATGGATATATATAAAAAAAGAGATTTTCTAAATTCAAAAGTAATACTGACAAGACGACTAATGTGTTAATCAATCGCAGGGAAGCTCACAACTCATTACATGCTTTACAGCATAGTCATGAATGAACAAGCCATACTTCCAACATTCAGCATTCATCCGAGCAGCATGACTGTCTCACAGTCTCTGAAAATAAATCTTTCAGAAAGAAACAATTCTTCAATTGAATCAGCAGATTTTTGCCAAAGGCTGTCTCGACTTCTTTGGTGGTGCTATTTTGAAAACATGTCAGTCCCCCCCTCCCCGATATCATTCAGTCCTCCTGGCACATCTCTCTGTGTGTTTTTGTAGCAGTCATCATTTCTGGTTAAGCCCCTCTTTGTTGCAATTGTGAAATCCAAACACTTAATGCTAACATTTGGAAATGAAAGCAATCTGTTTAGACTGGATCGGGAGAAAATATCTCAGGGATTTACAGCTGTGTTTAGATCGTAGTGATCTTGATGAGAAGATGTTAAGTTTCTGTTTTTTATTTCCAGTGGACAAACTAACAATAACAGAAACAAACATAGATGTGTGGAGATGAAGGGCTCAAATGGCTCCTCTGTGTTGACTGGGCAGTTTTTTGGGGTTTTATTTTAGCAAGCTTTGCAGATTTTCCACTTTGTTGCTGCTTCTTGCAGCACTTATGAAATGATGCAGTGACTATGCTGTAACACACAGAATCATATGTGTTGATATAAGGGGCCAGTTTGTTACGTAATGCAAATGGTAAAGTAGTCAGTTCACATTTATTCCTACTGTAGGTTTTCATTGTCGCTATCGTATAACCTCGCATTTAAATGAAAAGTAGAAGTTTGCTTCTCACTGATGTTTCTCTATGTTTATTTATGTCTTTTATTCATGTTATACGCGTCACTGTAACTATTAGATGAAGACCTCACAATGTCATTTAAAGATGATATACTGATACTTTCTAATGAGAAGTAATTATACATTGAAACATTAGCGATGCTTATATTAGTTGCCATTTATGCTCACATGAACAGCAATGGCAATATTGATCAGAACATCACGGGATATTCAATTCTTTGGCAAGTACAATTCTTATAAAAGATTTAAACACAGTGGTCCCTCGCTATAACGCGGTTCACTTTTCGCGGCCTCGCTGTTTTGCGGATTTTTTTTGTGCAATTTTGCATGCTTGGGTTTTTTTGTTGTTTTTTTTTTTTAACTTGCGTATTGTGTTCTGTGTCCTGATTGACACAGACACATCTGCGTCACATGGTTTGATCTTTGGTTTCATTCTGTAATACTGGACTTATTTTTCTACTAAGGTTTGAACTTTGAGAGAGTTTAAACAAGAGAGAAAAGTGTGAAAATGTTCATGCCTGTCTGAGAAAACTGTATAAAGTGTGTAGTGAGGGGGTTTTACAGCCTTAAAACATCTACAATAATTGTAAAAAATAAACTTGGCTACTTCGCGGATTTCACCGAGTGCGGGTTATTTTTAGAACGTAATTTTTAGAACGAATAAACGAGGGACCACTGTATAATAAATTCGAGAAAAGAGTTTGAAATTGGTCATACGTGTGCTGTCCTTCATGTCCTACTTTGTTGTCCTACTGTCTTCACTTATTTATTTTTTTATATTTTGGTTTAAGAAATAAAATGCATTCATTAGCTTTAATACAATCAAACCAACTTTAGAAAGAAATGTTATTCTAAAACAGAAACTGCAACACTGTGTCTTCATAATTTCAATCCTTCACAGAAATATTTCCACATAAGTAACTCTTCCTATTCAAGAATACAGCGCAGAGCAACGATTTTACATCAAAAGGAAAATAAAAAGGATAGCAGAGTTTTATTGTGTTGAAGTTTGTCATAATCACTTCTTCCTATCTTATCAGACCCTTATTTAATGACAGACAATGTACTTCTGTGAGCATTAGCAAATAGGACACTGAAAAAGAATTCAGTGAAGGAGAAACCAATCGTACGCAGTAACTCTAAATAGGATTATTATCGATGCTGTTGGACAAGCCTAACAATAAAATGGGGGTTGGGGGGTGGATTTACTTTGCATTGACCTATCTGCAAACTATTCTTGTTCTTCTTCTACATATTTCTTTGACTATTGTTACACAGTGATGTCGGTCTTTTATAACACTGAAAGCATCCTACTACCAGGGATCCTCCTGTGAATATGAGAGTGATAGCACATCAGCAAACCCACTTCATTTTCTGAATGCTATCCAAGCTATAATACAGCTCTCCTTATGTCTCTGCTAGCTCTCATCATTGTTCTCTCTCTTGTGCCTTTACTCATTGTCGATGGCTTTGGAAATAAAGCACTTTTTGATTACTCCCATATCTCCTCTTGAGTGACAGTTGAATTCTCAGACAAACAATGACTTCGAATGGTGTTCTATTTGCTCGTGATCAACCTCTATCAGGTATGTCTATTTTAGGAAAATATTGGACTAAAGGGCACAAAAAAGTGTAAACTGCAAAGGGCAAAAGTTCCCCAAGCTGTCTATCAGACGCAAAGATGCTGCTCCTCTTCATTGACATGTTTTCCAGCATGGTTAGACTGATCAGCGGCCCAAGTATGCTTCCAATGCTATCCGACATTCAAGGACAAGCAGAGAGTACCAATGGAGGATTGAATGTGACTGAGCGTTGCAACAGATTAGCTCTGCTTGTGACAAGCCCACTTATCCTTGCAGACAGGTGTGAAGAATGCTCTCGCCTTGTGGGCAAAAGCCACTGGTTGACACGGCTCGTCCCAAGCAAACCATCGCACGGGCATTAACGGTGAGTTACTTTCATATGTGCTATCTATCCTTTGTTCAGGGTCAAAAAAGTTGAAAGTGTAGATGACATAGCAGGTTGATGGAGGATAGAGGTCTTGATGTGGCACTCTAGAGTTTTATATGAGACCTCGGCTGGTTCGGGAGGGAGGCAGCCTCAGACTGCTACATCAGGAGTGAACCATGTGCCAAAAGTATCATGGCGCGCTGTTCTTCCTTGTGTGATCTAACACCTCCAGCTCTAGGCTTTGTTATTTCCTCTTGCCAGGATCTGTTGATTGGCTCCCCACAGGCTGAGCTCTCACAGCGACTTTACATTGGAAAGCTCTCAATTAACTGACCACAATCCATCTTTCATCACTGAAAAAGTAAAATAAGTGGGTTAAATGAGCTACTCATTTACTTCAACATTAATGGAAATCTTTCTATGGAGGGCTACAACAGCCCCCCAAAAAATGAAACTAAGTGGAAAAAAAATAACTACATAAATGAATTAAAATGCCCCAAAGAAATAATAAAATAATTGTTGGCCTTCATTTTTTGGGATCGGGACATACAGCCCATAATTCTCCTTTAATTTGCTTATATAAAAATTATAATATGAAGAAAAATGCTAGCTTAAATTCCCCCTCACCCTCCATGACTGTGGTATGTTTGTGTTCCTAAATTCTGGGTGCTCTGCGCAGTATTTAAAATTTACTAGGACTCTTCTGATCTGTTGGCGCCACTCTTACAGCTCGTAAGAACTCAATACTTTTATGGTGCAGAGAGCTGACCAGTCAAAGGTTAGCACTAAATTTAGCACAGTGCTGACACAACCATGTTTTGTCTAAAGCTATTAGCATTTACAGTAGCTCTTTATTTCACCTTTAGTCTCAGCACTGTCTATCAAATAGCCACCTGATGGGATCTTACACAGTCTACTAGACTGCCTTTAACACAGTGATGCAGCTCATTTGTTACCCATGTGCCTGACTGTGCCCCTGCCCTACAGTGTGCCTGAACTCAAGTGGAGTTCAGATAAAGTAATGTCCCAGACCCAAGGCCATTGAGAAAACCCCAAAAGGACCTCAGTCAAAATGCATCTGCCTGTCTGTTCATTAGCACTCCATCATCTCAGAATGAAGGCACATAAACTGAGAAAGAAATAGCAACTGAAACAAGTGTTTAAAATGATGGCTGCTCTTATGAGCTCTACTCGAGCGCACCCAAGGGTAAAATTAGACATGGGGAAAATGACCTTAAAGTGTGTCTAGCTTCATGGCAGCATTGCAGGGGTGTGCTTGTGAAGCGATGGAGGTAAACTCAGGGGGGTTAACTTTTGAAGGATTGCAGTTGGGTAAAAGCTGCCAGAATAACTCTCTCCTCTACGTCTCATCCCAGAGCAAGACTTATAGTTCAGTCTCATATCCAGACCATCATAAAGTCTTTGCTGTTTTATTTACAAGGACAAGTTAATGTTCTAGTTATTTAGTCACAAATCATTCGCTTTCACCAGAGAGTTCTCGAGAGGAGATGCACAAAA